GATGAAAAAGCACTGGAAATTGGTTGCACAACACCGTGAATATACTTAACACTACTGAACTAAGCACGTAAAAATGGTTAAGATGGCAAATTTTCTGTTATGTGTATTTTACCACAGTTAAAAAAAAAAAAAAAACGAATAAAAGACAGCCAGATTACAAAAGTGTAAAACTGTCTTTTCACAGATAGCACAATTGTCTATGGAGAAAATGGAATCTATGAAAATAAAGCTAATAGAATTAGTGATTCATTATAGCAAGATTGTAACATATAAGATCAATATACAAAAATTATCTTTCTACATATTTATTAGCAACAAACAACTGGAAATTGAAATTAAAATACAGCACCATTAACAACAGAATTTAAAAAACACAAAATACTTAGGTATAATTCTGACAAAAATATGTGCAAAACCTATACAATGAAAACTACAAAACACTGCTAAGAAATCAAAGATCTAAGTAAATGGAGAGATATACTGTATTCATGGATTGGGAGAATTAGAATTGTTAAAATGTCAAGTTCTCCTAAACTGGATTTATGAAGTCAATGCAATTCCAGTTAAAGGCTTAGCAGGCATTCTGGGGGGGAAGAGATTGACAATTTGAATATTTTTTTTTTTTTAATATTTTTTTTTTACATTCTATGATTTTATTGCAGAGCAGTTGGGAGGGAGGGGAAGAGTGGAAGGGGAAAGGAAATGGGATGGGAGATTGAGGCCTGTGGCACCCCCCTCATTCCCATAGGGAAGACCAGGGGGCTTCCAACGGTGGTTGGTCATTGCCAGGCTGGGTGCAGATATCAGGGGGGTGTGGCAAAAGCCATTGCCCACCACCACCCCAGCTCAGGAACCCAGGGCCTGTTTTGCTGCAGCTCAGTGGTCGTCACTGGGCTGGTTGCGTTTTGGGGGGGTATAGCTGAGGCTCGAGGCCCTCACCCTTGGGACTGGTTGCAAGTGTCAGGGGGCATGGCTGAGGCCCCCAGCACTCCCCATTTTCTGGCTTGGTAGCCCAGAGGACTTCCAGTCCTTCTAGGTGTTATAGCTGTTCTTTGGTGAAGAGACCTTTACTAGTTAATATCAAACTTCGTCTCTTCCAGTCCTTCTAGGTGTTATAGCTGTTCTTTGGTGAAGAGACCTTTACTAGTTAATATCCACTGGTTGTGGGTACTTTTTTCTTTCAGTTCTGTGTTGGAGTATTTGCTGTTCCCGCCACTTAAACTCTGTGCTGGAACTAATTTGTTGTCCTTTGCTTACTTCTAAAATGGGGGAACTTCCTGTGGACCAGTACTTGTGCTGTGTGGTTTGGCTAAATTGCTGCTGCTTTGCTGCTGATTCCCTAGGGAAGGCTTTTCATGCAACTCAGGTTTTAATGGTTGACTTAATAGATACTTCCAATCTCATGAGATCCGCTGCACCTGGGTTGTGTGGAAACTCTAGTCTGGGCCTGAGTCTTTTCAGCAAACTGTACTGCACGCAATTCTAAATTCCTGACCAGTCTCCTCTGAGTGGTCCTATGTTGACTGGGGTGCAGATCAGCTGTCCTTGCTGTGCCCCAGTGTTCTCACGATGGGCCCATCTCCCCCACTGCCTGTGCTCCAAACACTTCCCCTGGGACAGGCTGTGCTCTGGTCCCTTGTGATGACTCACTGAACTCAGAGTGGCTCCATTTTTTAGTTGTTGTGGCTCCTCGCTCCTATGTGGGTCCATGGGAACCATATTAGTGGTCTTGCTGGTATGGGGGCCACCAAAGCCCTCTTCACCCCTGCCACCTCCAAGCAACTTCATCCGAAGGGCACAGCTGCAGCTTTTGCCAGCTCCTGCTCTGTGAGCGCAGCAACTCCAGCCTGGAAGCTGCCGGGATTCGAAATGGTCAGAGCAGTTTTTTCTTCATCTCATCATGGCTTCATGCACTCCTGAGCTCTAGTGGCCCAGCTTGGTGGTCATTGCTTTTTTATAGTTGTAAATTGGTTGATTTTTGGGAGCAAGTGATGCTGGGGACTGTCTATTCCACCATCCTGACCGGTAGTCCCTCAAAATTAACTTTGTGCTTAGATATTATCATGAGGGACTCTTAAAACTAAACAAAAAGACAACTCAATGGGTATGGATGTTTTTGATGACTGTAACATTTTTAGGAGTACTGGCCTAGTATTTTGGAAGATGCCCTTCTTGGAATTAGTCTGTTTTTCTCATGAGTAGAACAGGATTATAGGTGTTTGGGAATAAGGTAAAGTGATCATGTCAAGGTTACATACTATTATGTAATGTTTGTTGATTGACCTTGATCACTGGCGAAGTAGTGTTTCTCACATTTCTCTACTGAAAAATTACTCTTTTCTCCCCCTTTCTGCGCTATACTCTGCAAGGAAGTCATTGCACAGCCCACTCTTAAGGAGCAGGGAGTAATGCTCCCCCTTTGCCTTTTATTTTTAGCTAATTCTATCAGGGATTCCTTAAGTATGCACTGTAGGATTAATTAAGCTTATTTTAGATTCAAATGTCTTCTCCCCACTACCCCTACCCAACATACATACAGTACTTTATGTTAATTTTTGTATGTGGTATAAGGTAGGGATCCAATTTTATTCTTTTGCATGTGGATATCCAGCACTATTTGTTAAAAAGACTGTTCTTTCTCCAATAAATGGGCTTGGGCACCCTTGTAGAAAATCTATTGACCAATATATTTGGTTTATTTCTGGACTTTCAATTCTATGCCACTGATCTACAGACGTATGCCTGTACCACACTACTTTAACGTAGCTTTGTAGTAAGTTTCAAAATCAGGACGTGAGTCATCTTTTTCAATGGTTTTTTTTTTGGCTATTCAGGGCAACTTTCACTTCCATATGAATTTTAGAATTGACTTTCCTATTCTTCAAAAAAAGCCATTAGGATTTTGATAAGGATTACACTGAATCTTTAGATTGCTTTGGAATTATTGCCATCTTTCCAACATGTCTTCCAATCCATGAATACAGGATGTCTGTTTATTTAGGTCTGATTTAATTTCTTTCAGCAACATTTTGTTATCAGTGTATAAGTCATGCAGCTCCTTGGTTAAATTTAGTCGTAGGTGTGTTACATGCTATTATAAATGGAATTGCTTTCTTCATTTCCTTTTCAGATTGTTCATTGCTAGTATATAGAAATACAACTGATTTTTGTATGTTGATTTTCTGTCTTGTAACTGCTGAATTCATTTATTAGCTCTAACAGTTTTGGGTTATGTGGATTCTCTAGAATTTTCTACACATAATATGTCATTTGTGAATATAGTTTTACTTCTTTTCCAATCAGGATGCCTTTTACTTCTTTTTCTTGCCTAATTGCTGTAGACCGTACTTTTGAGCAAAAAATGAGAAAAAACATTCTAACCTTGCAAATTCAGCATGGTTTTCAAATTCTATGTGGCAACGTAGACATATCACTTCTAGAATCTGCAGACTGTGTGTCATGAACAGGGCAGAAGGCACTTTAGTGTTTGTAACTTAAAGACAAGTACCATATAAATATTCCAGTGTCAAAAGCATTTTAAATTATGCAATGTAATATAAGAAAGAACAGATTTTGCACTGAATTATCTTTAGTATGTTTTAAAATACTGATGAAAATAAACAAAATACTGAAGAAACAGAAACAAATTTATGAAACGGTTTCACCTTTAAAATTTATTACACAAGCTATGCACACAAAATAAAATCCTAGTTATAAAAGATGCATCTGGAAGAAAAATAAGTTATAATAAACTTCAATTAAAATGAGTATGTATATGTATATCCCCAGGAATATACACATATTTAAATGTTCTCAGTGACTGGCATTGCTTTATGCATTACATAAGACAGTATCTACTAATTAATGTATCTGAATTACTGGGTTTTATATGGCTTTAAATACAATATCCAGATAAATTAACAACAAAAGGCAGCTCAATTCTGAACTGTATTAGAATCCAGAATCTCTCATTTTAGGTTACCATTCCCTATTTCCCACAAAAGAGATAATGGACTGGGTATTAGATGATACCAGGGAATTACTGTTAATTTTTTTCAGGTGTGATATGACATCGTAGTCATATAAGAAAATGGTCACTTTTTAAGAGATACATATTGAAGAGTATAGGAATTTTAAAAAGTGCATGATGTTTTGAGATTTACTTTAAAATACTTGAGCAAAGAAAAGAAGGAAAAAAGAAAGTTTATGTAAATACATTAAAATACTGAGAACTGCTGATAATCTGGATACTAGGACTTTACCATATTATTGTATATTTTTGTGAATATATTTCCCTAAAAAACACAACAAAAAACAGAATAATCATGTGGTTATTCTGATGTATAGCTATGTTTCAATACAAGGGTACTTTCCATGAAATTTTTGAAGTACCCTCATACACATAAAACCAATAAATAAGAACAAAACCAACAGAAGCTATTTCACAAACTAATATGAGCAGTCTTCAAAAAGTTCATGAAGGGCCGGCCTGTGGCTCACTCGGGAGAGTGCGGTGCTGATAACACCAAGGCCACGGGTTCGGATCCCATATAGGGATGGCCGGTTTGCTCACTGGGTGAGCGTGGTGCTGACAACACCAAGTCAAGGGTTAAGATCCCCTTACCGGTCATCTTTAAAAAAAAAAAAAAAAGTTCATGAAAAGATTTGTATTATCTTTTAACTCCATTTTCACAAACTTTTTGAAGTGCCTTTGTATTGGAATGTCTCCCCCCACTCCACTCCCCGCCAGAAAAGAATACGCATGGGTGGAAATGAATGGTTCTGATCTTTAAAAAAGAAATGTGTTTTTCTATCATTAAAACAAGGTTTATAATATTATATTTATATAATTGTATATAGAAGATTCCTATAGAATATAACCTAAACAAAATTTTAGAAAGATATAAAGTTTTCAAATATAAAAACGTTGTGCTATTAAAAAGATGTTTAACAAGGTAGTTCTTAATACATTTGTTGTGTATACAATTATAAAAGCCAAAAAATATTCAAAATCTTTATTAACCCAAATTAGAATTTATAAAAATGTTTATCTACAAAACATTAATTTCGATATTCAAGTATAGAATGTGGTACAGCCAGAAGTTGTTCAAGAGCCCTCCCTCCTGCAAATCATGACTTGCTCTCTGGCATTTAAATGAATGGGCAAGGGAAGCTGAAGGCAGACAGGAGAAGGGCATTAAAGAAAACATAGCAAAGACACAACAGTTAAGTAAATTTCTAGTCTGATACAGTAAACTATTTTTAGGAAGAATAAAATTAAAAGTGCTTAATACAAAAGATTTCAATGTCACTTATTACTCTTAAGTTCCATAAAACTTAGTTATCAAAATAACTTTATTAAGAGTTGGCCAAACTTCAACTACTATTATTACAGTGCTATGTTCAAGCAAACTTCCAATATTCATCAGTTATTTTATACATGTAATTTATGTTACACATGTACATAAATACCAGAAAAGTTTAAATAGTTCTACTATTCTAATCTTTTTCTTAAAGATGCAGGATTCCATATTGCTTCAGTTATGTGGACATGACAAAAGTGAATTAAATAGGAACTGAATATAAAGAACACTCGATACCATGGCATCATGATCTGGAACAAGTGAAGTTTTCTACCTCTTGCTCCATTTTCTAGATAAAGAGTAGGAAGTAAAAACAGTAAGTTTCAATATGGAAAAAGCTAAATGTTATTTCATTACTTTTTTAAAAAATAAACAACCTTAAGGACATTAATATCCATATACATATCTGATAGTGAAAATTAAAATTTAGTTCAGTATTTAAGACTATCATATAAACTGATTTCACTGATGGGACTTTGTTACTTAAATGCTTTTGAAATGAGTCTGAGGGGCCGGCCCGTGGCTCACTTGGGAGAGTGTGGTGCTAATGACACCAAGGCCATGGGTTCGGATCCCTATATAGGGATGGCCAGTTAGCTCACTTGGGAGAGTGTGGTGCTAATGACACCAAGGCCATGGGTTCGGATCCCTATATAGGGATGGCCAGTTAGCTCACTTGGGAGAGTGTGGTGCTAATGACACCAAGGCCATGGGTTCGGATCCCTATATAGGGATGGCCAGTTAGCTCACTTGGGAGAGTGTGGTGCTAATGACACCAAGGCCATGGGTTCGGATCCCTATATAGGGATGGCCAGTTAGCTCACTTGGGAGAGTGTGGTGCTAATGACACCAAGGCCATGGGTTCGGATCCCTATATAGGGATGGCCAGTTAGCTCACTTGGGAGAGTGTGGTGCTAATGACACCAAGGCCATGGGTTCGGATCCCTATATAGGGATGGCCAGTTAGCTCACTTGGGAGAGTGTGGTGCTAATGACACCAAGGCCATGGGTTCGGATCCCTATATAGGGATGGCCAGTTAGCTCACTTGGGAGAGTGTGGTGCTAATGACACCAAGGCCATGGGTTCGGATCCCTATATAGGGATGGCCAGTTAGCTCACTTGGGAGAGTGTGGTGCTAATGACACCAAGGCCATGGGTTCGGATCCCTATATAGGGATGGCCAGTTAGCTCACTTGGGAGAGTGTGGTGCTGACAACACCAAGTCAAGGGTTAAGATCCCCTTACCGGTCATCTTTTTAAAAAAACAAAAAGGTAAGAAATGAGTCTGAGGTGCATTCACTTATGTTAAATTCAAATAGTCATAATCAAGGTGTACTTATAAACATCAATATTTAATACTTTGTAGGTACCAGTATTATATATACCTTATAGGTACCATAGTATACTTTAATAAGCATATTAAATTCTCTTTATATTATATACCAATGGGTATATGACAAGTACCATTTTATACTTTGTAGGTACTGGTAATTTATATATGCACCTACCATCCAACATCTGTTTTTAAAATCAGCACACTAACATCTTCTGTAAAGCAAGATTAAGTGAAAACAAATAGGCCCATCTTAAAAGGAACTACATATCTTCATTACTACACACAAAAATAATTTTCATAGTTTACGGATACTATACTTCCACTGTTTATTCGAGACACAATCTAATGAAGTTACGGATTTAAAAAATACTAAACTCAGTTGTACCTAGAAGTAATTTATTATCTACATGTTAAAAAATGGTCTTTAAATTCTTATAATCAATCATTTTCTTATATAGATTAAATCTTACATAAGTGATATACGCCTCAGCAATCTTATATAAGTGATATATTATGTGACAACGAGAGCATTAAAAAAATTTCAATTATTTACCTGAATAAGTGTTGTTTTATCATAGTCTCTGCGATGCTGATAAATACACTGGCAGATTACTGCATACAAATTTTCCAATTGAAATATATTGTACTTTTCACCTTTTTTAACAACAGTCTTCAAAAGATTCTAAAAGAAAAATGTGAGTGTTTACATATATGAGACAGAAATTCCCTGAGACAGGATATTTGATTTTGCAGGTTTTGAGAATTGTTATCTCTGCCAAGAGAGAGGGCAGACCAAGCCATCTGATGAGTCATGGCAGCTTCTGGAAGTGGCTCTGACATTTAGCTGTAGTTAACTTTATCATCATTCTGTGATCCTTGTCTCTGCCCTGGTTAACTCGAATTCAAAAAACTACAACTGAGGAGGTTGCCAGTTTCAATTCTAGCCATAAACTTTAAAAGACAAATTAACAAAAAACCTTAAATTAGATTAACAGAAAAAAAAGCAATGTTTTTTTTGGGGGGGGCAGGGTATTTTATGGCAGTATATTATAATTGATTCCATTATGTGAAACTAAAAAAGATACTATATAAAAATGGTGAACTACCTCACCACTTCAGGGNAAATTAACAAAAAACCTTAAATTAGATTAACAGAAAAAAAAGCAATGTTTTTTTTGGGGGGGCAGGGTATTTTATGGCAGTATAAGTATATTATAATTGATTCCATTATGTGAAACTAAAAAAGATACTATATAAAAATGGTGAACTACCTCACCACTTCAGGGTTCTTCTTCTTATAAAAAATTTTTTTCTGGACCGGCCCCGTGGCTCACTCGGGAGGGTGCGGCGCTGGTAGCACCGAGGCCACAGGTTCGGATCCTATATAGGGATGGCTGGTGCGCCCACTGGCTGAGCGTGGTGCAGACCACACCATGCCAAGGGTTGCGATCCCCTTACCGGTCAAAAAAAAAAAAAAAATTTTTTTTTTTTGTTTTCCATCTGCTCAGAGTTTCTTCTCATGACTAAAATGGTGGATTCACTGGATTTCTATAATTCTTCAATTCTGTCCCTACCAGACAGACTTGAATGGCATACCAGAATATGCCATTACCTTATAATTAACAAGAGCATGCCATTACAGTTAAGTAAAAATCACCTAAAGTGGTCATAGGCAACGGTCATAAAAAGAATTTATGGAACCAATGATTTAGACCAGAATGTTAAAAACTATAAAGCAACACATTTGTTACCTCCAACCACTGCCTTTATGCAAATTATTCTGTTGCAAGTTTATCCTCTTACAAAAGGTCATTATTGCATGCCTAATGGATACACTGCATTACGACACAGTCCCTCTTTTCGTGGGTTGTTATGAGAAAAAGTACAAGTTGAAATAGTCACAAGAAATGGCTTTCTATAATTAACTCTAAATGATATACCTGTATATTATATACAGTATACAAACAGAGCAGAACAAAGCTGTAAAAGTTATAAAAACTGATTAAGTAGAGCAATAATTTCTACTCCTAACTCCAAACAACATAGTGAACTATATACAAAGTTCCTATTTCAGTATTAGGAATACCATTGTCATGGTCATAAGATTTATACCGGCTTTTGGTTTCACACATATTTTTAAAAAGACTTTTTCAGAGACTTAAATTTTTTTTGGAGGAAGTGCTCCAGGAATATTGCTGCTTCCTTCTCTAACAAGTATAAACATCAAGTTCTTAATAGCTCTGACACATTCAAAAGAGAAAGGTTTTCCTGAGCTAATGGCTGCTAGCAGGTTCACCTTGTACTTAGAGCAGATTTCTTTCTAAAATGTTAAAACTCTTATCTATGTAAATTGCTTACCTTTGATAAATGTATACAGCTCTATACATCAAAAATCTCAATGTTCTCAGACTTGGTATGTGGCCAAAATAAAACAGGTAAATTGGAATTAGGACATAATTTTTTTTCTTCTGAAGGGTAAGGGCAAAAAATCAGTCTTATTTCAGATACGTTAAGGCAACTGTAACACAGTTGTTAGTTGGGGAGATAAGATTGTTGTTTAGGGGTATCAGTACAGAGAGTTCCAGATGTAGGATCACCCTTACAAAGGTGATGGCTACTCCGAGGGTACAAAAAAACGGTCAAGAAAAACGCTGAGGAGCTTATAACAGTAGTTAAAGGTAAGCATGGTTAATGATACAACAGTCAAAGAAGGAGAGTTACCAATAGTTGTCAAATGTTATAAATATGGCAGAAAAAAACTCAATCTAACAAAGGCAAGTATTATTAGCTATTGGGATGTCATTTTATTAGAGTGAAGATGAAAACCCAAGTGAGGGGAATGGGTAGAAAAAAAAGAAGCAGGAACAGATAACCTGAATCACTCTGCTATTTCCCTCTGGTTCCTACCACAGATCTTCAAATATAATTCCTAATTTGGGACAGGGGAAGGAAAAGAGCAGTGCAGTATAGGGAAGCTGGGAGGAAAAAAAGTTCTAGTTTCTCACATAATTTCTATGTAGCCAGCCTGCCTCTAGTCCACAATCCAGTGTTTGGGGATTACTAATCTGCACAGTGAAAGCATTATGACTTCAATTTACATACATTTAATCGCTCATGGTCCACAACAAGAGAGGGTGTAGGCTGAGAAAGAATTGCCAAAGCCTTTTCAACACTGATGAGCTGCTGTTGCTCTACTTGTGAACGTCTAGCTCGAGTCATTCGCAGAACACACATTTCTAGAATGAAGAATTAAATAACTATTATTTGGTCCACAGACATTATAAATGCCTAAAATAAATAAAAGGCAGATTAGATAACAGTGCATATTTACTAAGCATGCAAACACCAATTCTGGCTTATTAACTCTTTCTGTTAAAAGATTAAGACACTGCCACTTAGACTCAAAAATTAAGGGCAGTTTAAGAAGTATTTCTCAAATTGAGAGTTTCAAGGGGATCCTCAACAGATTAGACTGTCTTCTACCTAGGTACAAGACTCACAGAATTCAAGAGCTAGAAGTAACCTCAATAACCTAGAACAAGGGTTGCAACCTACCACTCACTGGTGAAATGTGGCCAACCACTGTAAATAAGGTTTTATTAGAACACAGTGACATCCACTTTATCTACTGTCAATGTGGTTTTCCTAGAGGGTTAAATAGTTGTGACAGAGACCTGAGGGTCCCTGCCTAAAGTATTTACTATCTGGTATCTGGACCTTCAAATTATTCTAGATTAGGAATTAGCAAACTTTTTCTTTAATCACTGATAGATGAGAAAAATGATACCAAGAGAGGTGAGGAGACTTTTCTAAGGTCAAATATCTAATTGTTGTAAGACCCAGGACAAAAACCCAGATCTGATATCTAAGCAAGTATCTAAATAGTGCCCTTTTTTTTTTTTTCCTTTTTGTCTTTTTTCGTGTCCAGCAACGGATCGCAACCCTCAGTGTCGCGCCCGTACAGGACCGGGACCGGCAACGGTATCGCAACCCTCGGTGTTGCGCCCGCTCCTCGCTCAGCCAGTGAGTGGGAACCGGTCTGTA